GTGACTGGGTCTATGCTCCTGAAGGTCAGGGTTTCCTGTTTATGTTCTAAGACTCACATGAGGGAGTCATATGTGCCATACAGAATCCACTACAGTGCTCTAAGCCACAGCCTGGGTGTCTCTCCCGTAAGAGACCACTCTATTCTTGACTAAACTCAGGGGACTTAGCCACTGACAGGTGATTAAACACACACACACACACACACACACACACACACACACACACACACACAGAGAGAGATGATAGATAGATAGATGGTAGATAGAGGTGACGGGGCTGATCCTGCCACAACACAGGGCTTCTATTGCAGTATGTCCTTGTCCTTCTAACCGCTCTGTCCCAGATGAGCTGTTGGAAGTGCAGGGCCACTGTCGTGGGGCTGAGTGTGCTGCCTGCTCTGCTGGGTGGGTATTTCCCCCCCCACAGCCCATACAGTCCCACCTGTCCTCACAGAGGTCATGTGACACAAGATCTTAGAGGAAACGGAGGTACAGATAATGAGATCACTTTCTTTGGGGTGGGAATTCACATGGAAGCCAAGCGGGATGCACACCTTTCTCTAGCCCTGAGATTCTGCCTCCAAACCTGACCAATTGTCCTTACAGCACAGGCCCCTCTACTTAGCTGTCCGGGATATCTGCATTCTCAGGACAACGTGGGAGAAAGGAAATTATAGACAGAGCTCCTTGCTCAAGTACATCTTGCTCCTTGGTTTACTGAAAAAACAAACTAAAGGGTTTTCGTGTGCCTTCAGTGTAACTTGGATTTACCAGTGCACCATAGCAGCAGCTGGCAAAAGAGGCCAAGGCCTGAAGCTCTCCCGGTGGGATGTTCCTGGCGGGAGGGCAGGGGGCTTTGCTGCAGGGCCTTGGGAAGAGATTGCTGGGTGCCAGTTTAGGGAAGGCTGCCAGCTGAATCCCGTTTTGTGTTTCCAGATTCAGTGTACACATTCTGCCACCCCGGTGTGTGTGGGTATTGTCTCAATTACACGGCAGGGAAAGCAGAAACTGAAGCGACTCCAAGGATCCCATGGTCTCCACGCTTTGATGGAGATGATGCTTAGCCTGGAGGCAGGACTGACCTGGGACCCAGCATCTTGGCCATCCAGGATCAGGAACATTTAATTCTACTTCATAAGTAAATGTGTGTCACCTTCTCATTTCTCCTGAGGGCCTTTGAAGGTCTGCATCACAGCAACACAGCAGCACTCTTATGGCATGCTTATGGGAGCCCTTGGGGAGCTTTATCCACCCTGGTGTGTGAAAGTCAGTGGATGCCGCCACTGAGTACAGCCTGGCAGGAATAGAAACAGCGCCAGGAGGCTGGATAAATACTCTAACAAAGGCGGAAAGGGCCTGGAGCCGGGGCCTTTAACCTATGCCCAAATGTCATACTTAATGAAAATGTGTTTGGGGACCACCCAGACCCCCTGCGTCAGAGGCAGACCCAGAAACATGAGCTACTATCTCAAGCAGTTCTTACACTAAGAGTCGAACTCCTCCGCCCAGTTCTCTGAGAAGGCCAGAGCAGGTTCGGTCACGCAGGGTGAGGAGAGCAGTGGGCACCCTGACCCCCGTCCTTCCCGCAGAGGAGACCCTCATGCTGATTCAGGCCTGCAGCTAGGCTGGCTGTCCTGCTCCTGGCCATCTGCCCGCGCTCGCTCTCCTGGGCATGTAGCTGCATCGCCAGGTGCCCCAGGGTCCTTGACTCAGAGTACCAAGAATGACAACTTGGTTTCAGCAGGGCCCAGCAAATCCACCCTTCAGGAAGAGGTGCAGCCTAGGCCACCAGCCAGGGATGTCAAGATCCCAACAAAGATGAGGTTTGGCCAAGTCCTTGGCTTTCCTGGGGCGGGGCTGTGGACAACAATACCGAGTGTATGGGTCTCCTAATTTTACAGGGCCATCTTTACTGGTAGTCTTTCCGGTCACAGTGCATCTTGGGTAACACAGTCTCCAGACTGAGGCCAGGATAGAGAAGGGCAGAGTGGAGTTGTTCTAGTTCTGAGGAAGGCTCCGACCAGTCAGTTCTGCTCTGGCCAGTCTATCACATCTGTTATTGACAAGTTCTGGGCTGGGAAACGAATGCCTGGAGATTGGCTTGAAAGGACTCCAGTGGGAGCTGGACTGGCCCCAGAGCCAAGACTGGGGTATAGAAACCGACAGCGAAGCCTTCCTGGGATCTAGCTGTCAGTTAAGCAATTAAAGACTAGAGGGATGGAAGGGAATTCTGTGTTTTTTGTTGCTTAACCCCTAGGAGTCAGGGACTTCCCTTGCTTTCCGCTAGGTTGGATGCCTATATAGCTCTTCTGGCTGGTGAGGCAATTAGGGAAGGGCGTGTGAGGTCTGTGTGAGGCCCCCCTGAGGGGAGCTGCTTTCCTCCCAGGTTCTGCAGACTAAGAATCTTTTCTCATAGGCTCTTTTCTCATAGGCGGTGCGGTCCTGATATCTTCCACTCAGGTGAGAACCTCAGCGCAGAGTTATCTGGCATTTAATCCACGGAGATGCCCCAACAGAAGACACATTAGCAATGGCAGCTGACTTCACCACAGGTCAGGCTGGCAGCCAGAAGCCCCAGGGCCTCTGCCAATTTGTAAATGAATTAGCATATGACAGGTAGGAAGTTCAGTTTTAAACACATGCAAATCTATTCCAGTTGCTAAACTATTTGGAATATAGAGAAGGGCCTGGCCCTCTGAGTCCCCCAAAGGCTAGCAGCCCTGCCTCTAGGCTTCTTCCTTTCCTATCACCTGGCCTTTTATGGATGAAGTCCCTATTACACTCTCCTTGAAAGTACTATCGTGACCTGAAGGTTCCAGGCACCGGCTTCCCTTCCTATGGAGCGTTGAGTAGATGAGGCTAGTCTCTGTCTAGCCTCACTTCCAGCCAGTATGATGGGGTCCCCAAACACATTTTTAGTAGGTTTGACGTTCGGAAGCAGGTTAAGGGCCCCAACTTCTGGACTTATTGACATTTAATAGACCATGTCTCAAAATCCAAGAAACCATACATTAGAGTCCTCTGAAACGGGGGGGAGGGGGGGGGAAGACACTTCTCCATAAACAGAAGAGTGATCCTTGGGAGACCAGGAAAGCAGCAGCCCATGGAGGATGATAATCTCACGAGGCTGATAGCTGTAATTTTTGGAAGCTATTTCAATTCTTGATCGCTTACGGATATTTCTACATTTCCCATGGCCTCGTGTAATTTTATATATACAGAAGAACTTAAAATTGTCTAGCACTTTACAGTTCTTTCCAAATACCTTTGTATCTGCAGTCTCTTTAGCTTTCCTAATGGTCACATAAGCTCAGTACATCAGGTCTTGGGACCTCTCCATGACAGAAGGGACAACCAAGTGACTCCTTAGAGGAGCTGCTGGCTGACCTTCATGATGGCCTTAATGTCTGTTTATACCTTTGTTGTGTTGGTCTTTTAAGAAAGATTTCATTTTTATTAATTTGTGTGTGTGTGTGTGTGTGTGTGTGTGTGTTTTAGGTGCCCTCAGAGGTCAGGAGAAGGTATCAGATCCCCTTAGCTGGATGGTTGTTAGCCCCTGACCTGGGTGGCTGTTAGCCCCTGAGCTGGTTGCTGGGAAAATGCTACTGCTGGCAGAGCTGCCTCCATGCCCAGCTGCTTCTGTGCTAATGTTATCTAGGTGTTGGGCCTGGCTTCATTCTACACCAGTAGTAAAGGACCTCAGTGCCGGGCAAATGGGGCCCTGTGGTGATGGACTGTGTGACGCTCTGTCCTGTCCCTTTAAGAGACAAGCCCCGCCCACTCCCTTCCTCCCCCCCCCCCACCGCTGAGGCAGGCCTTCTAGTCTGAGCCCTTTCCTTCTCTCTCCCAAAGAGATAGCTGGCTCTCTCTCTCCCCTCTTTCTCGCTCTCTCTTTCTCTGCCTCTCTGCTCTTCTCCCTTCTTTCCTCTCCTCTTCCCTTCCATAACCCACTAAATAAATATGCAACCTCACTCTGCATGGTATGCCTATCTGTCTGTCTGTCTGTCACCCGCCACGTGGCTCCCTGCCTGGGACTGGCTGTCTTCGTGGCCCACTGCGGTCTTGGGACCCACTGCCTGCCACCACTCAGAGACCTGCAGTATTTTACTTTTTACCATTACACACTGTTAGAATTATTTTTTTAACATTCTCAGAGACAGGAACTTGTGTAGGACCTCACAGTCAGAGTAAATAATATCCCACGAGGTCACTCAGGACATAAGACTGTGATCCTACTGTGTGCTTGGCCTGTTTCTGCTTTAAATAAAACAATGTAACAACTTTGCATGTCCTTACTATGTCTTGGACTTCCCGTGTGGTCAACATTTACAACCTAAGACAGTGCACAGTGGTAATCTTCAATTTTGTACCCTTTCGTGCCCCGTCCCCAAGAGGAGTGCATGTGTGTATGTGTTTATGTATGCTGTGGTAATAAATGCTGAAAACAGCAAACAGGTTGAGGACAACCTTATAAAACATGTCCACCATCAATGCTGGCCACCGCGTGGGTATAGGCTGATGAGTGTGTGTGCAGTGACATTTGCAGGAGTGTGTGTTATGTGGGGCAGTCGGGGTCACTGGGAGTCAGTGATGTCACCCTTTATAAAGCCCTGTCAAGGATTTCTGTCCTGTTTCCCTCATCCTTTCCCTGTGTGGATCCCTTCCCGTTTTCTGTGCTGTTCAATACAAGAGAGAGCAAAACCCTTTGTTAGGGACACAGACAGTCACACACATAGGCATGGGGCAGACATTCACAAGATGGCCTTTGGGCAGGCACAGACTCAAACTCACACAACAGACTGACAGATGGTGATGGAAGACATAGGGAGAGAAACAGAGTTCTGAGCCAGGCTTGCTCTTGGTAAGAGTGCTCCAAGGGGAAGAACGTTGACTTCTTTCGTTTTATAAGGCAACCCACACACAGACATTTGGGGCACAGTGAGACCATCGCTAATGCGCTTCAATGAGACAGTGGTTCCGTGGAAGGGGGGAACACTCACATTCCTTGGTGTTGGGAGGGGCCAAGAGGCAGGAGTAGCACACCATGCCATAGATGTTCCTCGGTCTGTTTTCCAGCATGTAGTAGCTGAGGAGACAAGATGAGACAGAGTAAAGGCGTTTGCGTGAGAGGAACCGCACAGACACAACCTGGATGTCACCAGGCCATGGTTGGAGCCGGGTATGAGGTAGCTTGGTGGGAACTGAGGGCCTAAGAGGCCAACAGCCCTCCCTGAGTTCCTTGTGGGGATATTTAGCATGTCCTGAAGTAGGATAGTCTTTTTTCCAGTATTGGGATGATTTGGGGCCTGACTTCACATGGCTTCCTCTCTTTGTTCCTTTCCTGAAGGGTCTGTGTGTGTGTGTGTGTGTGTATGTGTGTGTGTGTGTGTGTGTGTGTGTGTGTGTATGTGTGTGTGATTAGTACCTCCCATAAAAGCTTTCAGTAGCAGTGCCTGTGTGCCACCACCTGGGGGCACTGGTGAGCTCTCCCAGTCCCTCTCCCCCTCTCAGAACCCAGAGCCTGATGGGGCTGCTGGCAAAATGCCTGCTTGTCCCTGGGGCCCTTGGGACCCCTCAACTGGCTGCATGGGTGACAGTGTCAGAGACAGAAAACGGCTAGAGGGGTCACACAGGTCAGTGCAGGTGGCCTTGAAGATGACCCAGAGAGGAACCAGGTCCTGACACCATTAATGGCCCTGGGCTAAAGACACCTGTGTAACTATTGCGTTTGTCTGTGGTCGCACTCAGAGTAAAGGGTGAATCACTCAGAAGTACCTCAAATCCTTTTTTCACCCAAGCAATGCTACTACCTACGCTCCGCCCTTTAAAGGATCCGGCCCTTAGCAGTAGCCAATCCCCTCCCAGGAGGGGAATGGCCTGGGAGGGGAGGGTAATTCTTTGATGTTTTGGCTCATTTCTTGGTGTGAGCCATTATCATAAATGAACATTGTGTGGTGATCATGAGGCCATTGACCACATTGTGGAAAGTCTAATGAAATAGAGGGAGCCCGTGTGCGGGCGGCATTGCTTCCCTTTCTGAGAACTCGGGAGATGAAAAGCCCTCTCTGCTGGTGGATCCACCTGCAGCCGTTTCCCAACCTCTTTCTTATTAGCCCTCCTGATGACTGTGGGTGGTAAAGATGGGGCAGGAGGGCGGGCTGGGAGACTCTGGACCCCAGCCCGCCTTGAGCTTGGACCATTACCAGTAACATCAGGGTTGTAATTGCTTGCCCTTCCTCAACACCTTTTATCTTCAGATCCCTGTGTATCTTGTAAACATTAATTAACCAATCTCAAAAACACCCTTCGGAGAAGCCACAACAGTTTAACTGTCAAGCCTTCTGGAAATAGCTCCCAAACGCGCCCTCTGGTCCCCTAAGAAGCCATCTTTGTCAGTGAAGCAAGAAGACTCATAGGGACCAATGGTGGAGTGTGATTAGTAATCACTCCGCAGGGGCAGGTGGCCTCAAGGTGCTCCGGTCAGCTCTGTTTTCAGCAGTCTAACATCTGGCTCCCAGGCCACACCGTTTTCTTCTCCTGTCCTGCTAAGACCGGGTGCCGGAGGCCAATGAGGATAAACCTCTTGCCAGGGATGAAAGGAGGACAATTGTTGGCAAATAGTGGCCAGACAAGGTAATGAGTAGTGTTATATTCTGCTCCGCAGTTCCAGGTACTGAACTGGAGAAAAGCTCCAAAGGTATTTGGGGTGTCACCCATCCCCCTTTTAAAGTGGCGGAGCCACAGACTTGTCTGTTCTGGTTATGTTTGGATGTCGGGCTCCATCACAAGTAAGGCTCCAAAGTCACACACGTAGAAGGGGTATGGACCACAGGGACTTTAGGACCTGTTACACATTGAAGACCTGGGTTTAGCAGGGAGGGGGCTGCTGGCTGGCCTGTCTGGGGTTCCCATCTGTGGTGAGGTAGCCTTTCTTTGGTATGCAGGTAGGCACTTCCTGCTGTAGGCTGACACCTCCCATCTGAGTGTCTCCCTCTGATTCTCCCAGGGCCTCCTGTTTCCAGCTCCACACTCCTTTCAGGGCCCTGACTGCACACTTGACCAAGCCTTATAAAGTAACTTAATGAAGGGGCAGGCCTGAAAAACTGTAAGAGAAAAAGAAAATACTGTTTGTTTTCATCTTACGTGTATGAGTCTTTGGTTTGCACGTTTTGTTTGTATACCACATGGATGCCTGCTGTCGCTGGAGGTCAGAAGAGGGTGTCATATCCCCCAAAACTGGAGTTGCGGACATTTTGCCATGGAGGTGCTGGGAGTCAAATCCAGCTCCTTTGGAAGGGCATAACTGCTCCTAACTGCTGAGTCATAGCTCAAGGCCCAGTATAAACATTTTAAAGATGGATTGGTTCTAGGAAACTCCTTAGAAATTGCATGGCCCACCCGGCACACGTGTCAAATGCCTTCAGATAAGAAGCCGCCTTGTTCTAGCATGTAGTGCTGTAAGAATATTTAGCGTGTGTCTTGTTATGCACGTGTGCCTGTGTGTACATGCACGTTTGCATGTGGAGCACTCTTCCTTGTGTGGGCAGACGTACGGAGACCAGAGGTCAATGTCTGGTGTCTTAGTCTCTCACTGAGCCTGGAGCTCACTGATCCAACTAGGCAGACTGGCTAGTTGGGACCCAGGGGCCCTCCTGGCTCTGCGATCATGTTGCCACTTCTGACTTTTCTGCGGATGTTGGCGATCTAAATTCAGATCTTCAGGCCTGTGCAGCAGGCACTGACAGAGCCATCCTTCCAGCCCAGAGACCATTTTTAAATGCTAGGCTTTTCTTTCAGGACTAACCTAAACTAACCTCAAAGTTTGTACCTGTAGTTCTGCATACGGCTAAACAAGAGTGGAGGATGCTAGCCTCTCTTCTGCCCTCTGACAGCTTCTTCTGTCTGAGGTAAAGTGTTCATTCAGGCATGTGTGGCCCAGTTACTGTCAAGACCACATCTTTCTGCCAAGATGCAAGCCCTGACTCTTTGATCCATATTTTGATTTTCTCTACAAATGCTTTTGGAGTTACCGTGGGTTTGTGTTCTGATAAGCTCATTGTGAGAGAAACTGTTAAATAGAAAATGCTTTCAGGACGCTCAGCCCCACACTAGCTGGTGGAGCTGCTTGTAGCGTGCTCAGAACACGCACGTTTTGCCTATGCCTGGGCTGCAGCATCTAGCACAAAGCCCACTTTGTAACAAAGCTTGTCTCATGCAGCTCTCTGGAAAGGAAAGGCAGTGACGCATGGGGGCTCACCATTAACTGAGTTAATCCAAATTGAAGTGATGTTTCTCTTTAATGACTAGGAACATCATAATGGAGAAACATGCTAAGCTGAGCCTTTGTCAGCTGGGGACAACCTCAATCAATATTCCCTCTTTCTATCTTCTGTTCTTCCTGGCCGAGGTTGTCTAGCTCGGGGCAAAATTCAGTTGAAACAAGGATTCAAGAGTCTACTATTCAGACTTCCTTCCTCTGATTGCTTCTCCCAGCAGATTCCCCTTTCCTGGGACCGAGGCTTGCGGGTAGAGGCTCTGGGTCATGAGATGCCATGACCTGCAGCAATCTGTGCTCTACAGAGTCCTGTCTCCAGCCTGCCCAGCCATGGGGCTGCACTAAGCCTCCCGTGGAAAGGCGGTGGTTGGTGTAGAGCTGGCTGCAGGAGCTACCACGGGCAGGGGATGGCAAAGCGAGGGAGGTTATGAAATCTAACCCCTTCCCTCCTGCCTCGTCCTTGCCGCCTCTCGTCTCCCACACAGACCTTTCCCAACAGGAAAGCCCCATGCGCTGCTATTGTTCGGCGAGCGTCTGGGCCACATGTGTGTGCAGAACCGAGAGTGGCAGCCAGCACCTGCCAAACCACAGGGAGGGGAGAGGGCCAACCCGCAGCCTTAAAAAGACAAACACCAGGTAAATCTACATCCTGGCTCACAACCACAGGGGTTCATGGAGCTAACCGGTCCAGCCTGCCAAAAGGCCCCATAGTCCTCTGTGATAGTATGAGAGCCTCATTTTGTTCTGTAGGTTTAGGGCATGCAACAGGAAATGGGGCCTGTCCCTGTGATTTGAGATCCGGAGAGAAGGGGAAGTAGTTCTAAGAAGGCCTTGGGGACTAGGGATAAAGTGCAGGCTTTCTGTTCAGTGACTTCAGGGTCAGGAACGACTGACTTGGCAGATAGATCTCCCTGCAAGCCAAAGTGGGAACTGATGATCCAATCTCCACATCTGTGGCACTCCACAGATATGGATATGATATGCAGCACACTGAGATGGTGTGGACATGGGCCCCTCCCTCACTTACCGGGTGCTCTAGCCTCAAGGTTGAAGGTAAAGTTACTGTTCCATGGAACACAGAGAGAGAAGTACTCAAGACTTCAGAGCCCGAAACACGCTTCTGGAACCCATGCAACCCCACCCCAGTCTACATAACGGGCATCTGCCTGAAGTCTTCTGGAGGCAGGGGCTCACTACTATTATCAAATGTCCTCGGAGATTGGATACTTTCTGCTGAATATTGGGAGCAGGCAAATGGTCTTCATGGCTCTCAAGTCAGATCTCAAGTGCCAGCTGGCATCTGCCTTTGAGCAGTGGCCACTTCAGGGTCCAAGGCTTGCCTGTTTTGGTTAGAAAGTCTCTTCTTCGTGGCTCTAACGGGCAATGATGCTGGCTGCATACGGTCATGGGACAGAGCAACCACTTCCATGGACCACTGATTATGGCACTGTCACAAGGCTCTCCTCTAGCCACAGGTGTCTGGTTAGGGAGCTTCACCTCACACAGACCCATACCCCCTGCACTCTGAAGCCACCTCGGGGATGCCATATGCACAGCCCAAGCGATGCTCAGCACTTCCCTGGAGTGTTCCACCTCTCTATCTATCTGCCGGAGAGAGTTTGGTCTGGATGTCCTGCAGCACTGGGTTCTACACATCTGACCTCCACCTGTCTGTCTATCCCCACCAAATGCCTCTTCCTCCTGTATGCTGCTTCTATCTGCACAGGAGGGCAGATACCAAGGAGTCCGTTCCACCCTGTTCCTCCACCTAGCTGCTGGGTAGCACTTAGGCTCTTGTGGCCCCCAGTGCCTCTGCCCTAGTTCCCCCTGCTCTCCGAATTCTTGCTCCCTAGGTTCCAGGCTCGTCACTGCTCAGCATTTCCCTTACTGCTATCAAAAGGATACTGCTGACACTGAGTCCTGTAGCATCCTTCCCCCGACTTGGCATTCTGAATGGGGACCAGCGTCAGTTACAAGCTGAAAGGCCAAGTCTTCCGTGTTGGTGGCTAGAACACCTCTATCTGACTCTACCTGTCTCTAGCATCTCTGCATCTGGCATGAGCTCCTCACTGAGGCCATGGGAACCAAAGGACCAGACCTTCTCAGATGCTTGCTGCTTTCAGGGAAAATAAATAATGCAGAAATAAGCAATGCAGCTGCTACATGGCTGTAGACAGGGTATACACAGAAGGTCATTTCCCTCCTGAGGAAGCATGATGGGATGTGTGTGCCCGACACAGCAGACCCCCAGACACTCTGCGTTTGTGTACCATACTTTTGAACCAAGAAAAAAAAACTGAAGCCAGTTAATAAATGAATCAATCAAAATGAAATTCTAAGAATTGTGTAAGCTATTAGAGACTAATTCTGTCTACCATCAGCTCTCACTGAGTTCCCTTCACTTAGGGGCAAACCCAGGGTCTACACCAACCAGTCCCCTCAGTGGGTGCCTATCCAGTTACGTGGGGATACACATATTCTGGTTCTAATGCTGTTGTTCCTTTTTTGGGGAGTTCCACAACACAGTAACTGCAACAAAAATGCAAGAAGAAAATTTACTTTTCCCTCATCCTTTGAAAGGGAATTGTCCCCTCCTCTCCCCATTTCTACCCCTCTGCTTTCTGCGTGTCGAAGGATAAGGTTACATGACGAGGTTCTACTGTCTCATAGATTCACCCGACAAATACATTTGAATCACACTTTGTGTCAGGGACCGGAGCATTGGATTACCTAGCAAATATTTGGATACCCGAGTCTGTGGCTTAGGAGGTGGCCCGAAGCTGAAGACAGAACCCTGGGAAACTGGGGTAGGAGTCTGTCACCAGGAGACAGACAGCTGGGGATGGGAACTATGGAATAACAGTTTCTACAATAACCCCCCCCCCCCGCCGTGTGTGTGTGTGTGTGTGTGTGTGTGTGTGTGTGATGAAGAGTGAATTCACAGCTCACTGATGTTTATTCTGGAGGTGTCTTTCTGACGTTTCTGTACCTCCTTCTCATAAGGTACTGCTCACCTCTGGCATTACCTGGACTCCCCCCACCCCACCCCAGACCTGCTACATCATGGCCATGGGCACCATCACCGTCAGGATACCATCGTTGTCACCTCCTCCACCCACACCACTTCCATCCCCTCCCCCACCTCCCACCGTGCTTTTCCTCTCCATCTGTAGTCTTGCCAAACATGAGGTTTTGTGGCCACTAGGGGGAGGCAGCAGCAACGGCTGTGGCTTAGTATTGCTTGGGTGTCCAGATAGGAATTTTCTGATTCTGGGCAGAATTTGCTAATGCATTTTATCAGGAAAACAGAAAGACTTTTTTTTTTTTTTTTTTTTTTTTTTTTTTTGCTTTTTGTCTTTCGGACCAGTTATATTCTCACTTTGCTTTTTGATTTTGGAGGGGGAAGACCTATGTTCCACCACAGTGTGAAAAGTGCAGACGTCAGAGGACTCACACCTTTTACTTAGGCTTCCCAGAATGCCACAAGCAGTACCTTCCTGGGAAGGTTAGATTTTTTTCCCCCTCCAAAATGCTTCCCATGTACTGCTTCACTGTGCTTGGCTGCTTTGTTTTACATAGGCAGTCAGGCTGTCCTAATGCCTTCTTATCCACCACAGGTACTGCACCTGAAGGCTGCCTGTCTATGAGCAGTGACAGGACTCACTATCTTATCACCCCCAGGTGACAAAGCGTGGGAATGACACTTTGGGAAGGCCTGTTGTGCCTGTGGGGTTTTGCTCACAGGGTCCTTGCTCCTCCCCATTCAGAGGTCAGCCCAGCAGCACACTTACCCAGGGAGACACGGGCCACACTCAGCATCGTTTTCCATGTCCCCCGGAGTCAACACAGTGGCCCGGAAGAAGCCCTCACAGTCCTTGTGGCGCCGGCATATCTGGTAACCTCCTTTGGAAAACTTCTCTGCAGGGCAAGGCACACAGCCGTAGTCATCGTCTTTGGTGCCGTATCCGCAGGACTGGCCGGGGAGGCAGAGGATAGGAGAATACAAGTGACTACAGAGGCCTGCACAGTGACATGCTGGAGGTGTCCACCCCTGGCTGCCCATCCTACAGCAATTGTAAAGTCCTATCTTCCTCGGGTCCTTCTCTAAGCTTGCTCCTGTCCACCTTTTGATGGCTTAGTGACAGTGTCCAGCCTCAAATGAGGCCCTTTAAAGAGGTCCAGTGGCTTCCCAGAGTGTCCTTCACTAGAAGACAAACCTGGAAGCCTGAGTTTTCTCAGAACTTTGCAAGAACCCCAGATGCTGTTGGCCCAGATGTTTCTCTGGTGCTTCAAAGAGCATGTGAGCTTAGCTGTCCCACAGCACGGGAACCCAGAACTCAGAATGGATGTGCTATTCCCGGAGAGCATCTCTCTCTCTTCCAATTCAGATGATCAGCCCAACAGAGCAGGACAGGACACTTTTTAAAGAATTTAGGACCGGGTGGTGGTGGTGCACACCTTTAATCCCACCACTTGGGAGGCAAAGGCAGGCAGATATCTGTTAGTTTGAGGCCAGCCTGGTCTACAAAGCGAGTTCCAGGACAGCTAGGGGTGTTACTCAGAGAAACCCTGCCTTGAAACCCAGCCCCTACAAACAAACAAACAAACAGAATTCAGAGTGCCTGATAAATATGCTAGAGGGTACACTGGGCTCTGCAGCTCATACCACTCAACCCTGGTGAATATACCTTGATGACCTCTTGGTGACCTCAGTGACAGTTTAGGAGGATGGTGCTGTGAGTACACCCCTACCTCCTGAGAGCTCAGGGACATAGGCTGGTCTCCTGTGGGATGTCTTTCTATATGCTATGAATATGTGTTGCTCTCATTGGTTGATAAATAAAGCTATTTTAGCCTATGGCAAGGCAGGATACAGTCAGGTGGGAAATCTAAGCAGAGATACGGGAGAAGGGCAGAGCTGGGAGACGCCATCTAGCCGCCCAAGGAACAACATGCCAGCAGACAGTCACGCCACAGCCACATGGCAATACTTAGATGACTAGAAATGGGTTAATTTAGATGTAAGAGCTAGCTAGGAATAAGCCTGAGTCATCAGCCAAACATTTATAATTAATATTAAGCCTCTGAGTAGTTACTCAGGAACTGGTGAGTGGGACAGAAACCTTCATCACACTGGTTCTTACCATGTAGGGCTCCTCTCCCGGTCTGCAGGGAGGACATTGGTGACACAGCCCGGTAGTCTGGTTGTGATATTCATTCTCCCCACAGTTGGAGTCCTCTGCCTTGGCTGAGCACATCAGGGACACCTGTCACAGAAAAGGTGTTTGGCCTCCACAGCTCCTCAAGATGCAGTTGTTATGTGGGATCAGTCCCTAGAGAGCCCCACGTTGGCCACTCCTGTCCCCCCAACCCATCCACAGCCATCCTTATAATCACCTTCCTTCTGATCCTACTGTCCAAATCCATCCTTTTCCCACATTCAAGAGAAGCCTTGGATTCTCTTAAGGTCATGAAGGAGGCACCCTTCTCTTGAACGTCTAGATATCTAGGTGCTACAGGGGCTGGTCCTTTGGTCTCGTGGTGTCTCAATCCCCACTGCCAGGCAGGACTCAAGAGGACAGGAACTTTCTGATCTTTTTTTTAGCTGTGGGCCATCACACAGGCTAACACGTCACTGATAGGCACTGAGAGACATTTCTATCTACGAGTCCCGTGAAGCAGGTGCCAGGAAAATGCTCCAATTAGAACCAGGGGTACCGTCGTCCTTATTCCCTCAGCCTCATTCTGACAGCTGGGTGGAGGAGGCTGTAGGAGCTCTGAAGCCGAGGTGCAGGAGGCTCAGGGCAGTCCGAGGCGGGACAGCTAGCGAAGGTTCTGGCCCGAGGGAATACCCCTTGCTCTGCAGGGGCTGAAGTAAGTTCTGCAGTGGGAGAGGCACTCAGAACAACTTACCACCAGCACCGGGAGCCAGGACGTCCACTTGCAGTCCCCCATGTGGGCCATGATCTCCTGGAAGTGTACCTGAAAGACACACTGCATCAGCATCAGGTGGTCCATCTGCCTTCATCCCCATTGCATCTCAGTGGATGAAGGTAACTTCCAGCAGACAGCATGGGGAATGTCACACCCCAAAGAACAGAGTCTAGAGGCGGCCGGTGGTGCACACCTTTAATCCCGGCACTAGGGAAGCAGAGGCAGGCAGATCTTGTGAGTTCAAGGCCAGCCTGGGTTGCAAGAACTAGTTCCAGGACAGGCTCCAAAGCTATACAGAGAAACCCTGTCTCAAAAAACCAAAAAATAAAATAAAATAAAATAAAAATAAAAATAAAAAAAAGAATAGTCTATTCTCAATCTGTGGGTCACGACCCTTTTGGGGGTCGAATATCAGATATCCTACATACCAGATATTTACATTATGATTCATAGCAGTAACAAAATAACAGTTATGAAATAGCAATGAAATAATTTTTGGGGGCCACCACAGTATGAGGAACTGTATTAAAGGGTCACAGCACTGGGAAGGTTAAGAACCACTGGAATAGACAGACTCTAAGCTAAGCTTCAGGCTGATGATCCTGAAGGCAGCTCACATACCCTCTGCAGCATCACACGATGCCCTAGAAAGAACCCCTAGAGGGAAGGCTGAGCAAATGGGGGGGGGCTGCTGTTAAGCTGGGGGTTGGCGCAAGTCAGTCAGGGCCAGGGAGGCCAGGAGCACTTGGACGTTCGGCATCTACGTCCTGATCCCAGCAGATTTTCGGTCCTGCTCAGTCTGGGTTCTAGAAGTAGAGTGCACATTTAGGAGAGGAACACCCAAGGTGCAAGCAGGCAGAGAAGAGGCAGGTAGGGCCCGTATCAGCTAGGCGCTGTTTCCATCCTGAGCAGTCCTGTCCAATCTCCTGTCTCCTCATGGAGCAGAAATGTCCACACTGTTTAAGAAGGGATCTAGGCAGGGTTCTGAGATGTCACTCTCTTTCATCAGCACAATAAGCAAACAACAGAATTCCAGGCTGGGGGTGTAGCTCAGTGGTTAACTACCCCCTCCATGCCTGCATGTGTGAACTCCTGGGTTTGGCCTCTAGCCCTAGGACAAGAATATAGTGTTTCAGTTCCACGCATGGCTTCACTGCCACGGTTGAGGGACGAAGACTTCAGACAGAAGACCTCCCTGGCTGTGGTTGGGACACTGTGTGCACAAGAGGTGGGTCTGTGTGACCCCTAGCCTTACAGCAGAGACTGTGTGTGGTGGGAAGTAAGAGAGAGTAGAGGCAGCCATGGACCAAGGATGAGAGTGGACGGTTTAGCTCTACTCTGAACTTTGCGACTAGAGAAAGACCCCAGGGCTATTTATTTCACTCCGGGGAGAAGTGTGTTCCCTAGAGCTGTCTGAAGATGGGTGTTCTGCAATAGTCTGGGGAGACCCAGCCAGGGTCACTGGCAAGGTCTTGAGGGACGGGGTCTGGATCATGTATGGGCTCAGGAACCTCAAGTTTGCCCTCACACATCACTGCTGTGCACTGGGTGGCCTGACAGAAATGGCCGGGTTTCTAGACTCTTTTGCACCTTGGTCCTGTAAGGCAAGATGAAAGCGCTCAGGTTGCCCTCAATTGTGAACTTGTTGGGTGTTTTCCTTCTGGCAAGGAGCAAGCTGGGGCAGGCAGCAAGGGAGGCAGGGAGACCCAGCCTAGAGGCTGAGAGGATGGCTCCAGCCCTAACGGGTAGGGTGGAGTTGAGGCAGCAGAGGCCAGAAAGGGAACTTCACCCTCACGCATACTCCTGCCTTAGGTCCGAAGCTCTGGCCTTGCTTCGGGACAGTGGGTTTAGCTGGGATGCCTTTCCATCATGACTGTGGATAGGGCCAGAGGCTCTGGGTATGGGAGGCCTTCCAAGAGGTATATTAATGGTTTCTAATTTAATTGATGTCTAATTATAGCAGATTCTTGGGAGCTTCCCTGAAACACGGGAAAGTGCTGGGCCTCCACACTTTGGTGTTAGCCTAGAGCATTTATGGACAGGCTCATTAAAGATGTGCCCAATAAAAGTAGGGTCAAAGGGAAAGCAAATAGACAAAGGTAAACAAAAAGCTAAATGCATCTTTAGTGCTTTGCCCACACTTATCCTGGAAGGTGTAAGGTCTGGGTGGGAAGGGGTGGTCCTGTGGTCAGTGCTCTCCTGAACCTCAAGAGTACAGACAGACATCAGCCCAGCTGGGAGGAAATGGGGCTCAGCTGCGACCTCCCACCACTTTGGGGAGCCCCAGTTCCCCACACTGATAGAGGTGCAAGAGCTAGGAGCTAAGAAAGCTGCCTTCAACCTGGGTGGTAACTGCATCTCTTCCCATCTCTGCAAGCAAGGCTGATGCTTAACTTGCATAATTGGTCAGACGATCAGTGACCCAGACCAGGGTCCTGCAAAACTGCACCCACTGGTAAACAAATCGCCAGTCCACATCAGGCTGTCCACATAGTGCATTGGAATCCAGCAGCACCGGCCTGTTATCTGACATCTGGAACATTTTTCATAACCAAGCTGAGACCCCGAGCCCAGGCAGACCACACCAGCCATGTCTGCGGTCAGTCCTGGGCAGGAGGGGCTACCACCGCCTCCTTAGCTGCTCCCTTTCCTTCCCACCCGCTCTGCTTCTCTGCTTTCTGCCATTCCCACCTCCACACGGTTTCCACCCGGAGTGACAACGTGACAGTGTGGGAATGCCAGCTCGTGAACTTGTGCGGCAAACCTCAGACTTCCATTCACCTCCACTCGAGGTGGGCTCGGTTCTTATCTTTATGCTCCAGGTCAGGAAATGGAAGTACCACGAGGTTAAGAACCTGCCTGAGATGTGCCTATCCCTTGTTTCAAGTCCCTACCCTTTATTTATTTGTGGCACTGGGCTGGAGCAGTTGGACCTATTTCACGATTGTCTCTGTGACATCTATAGGCTGGGTCTGCACAGCCCCTATGAAGGAACCCATGGATGGTGGGGAGGAAGAGATAAGGCACCCCTGACCTTGAACTCAGGTCCCTGTTCCTGGCCCTCAGTCTGACTTGGTAATTTCGGCACATGGTCTCCCTGTGGCTCCTTTCTCTTTGGCACTCCGTTGCCACCATTGAATGGTGTGACCTCAGAGACCCTGGGCCAAAGAGGGTCTTCTGGGCACAAATGTTCCTGGGACAAAGCCCTCCTGGTCCTTCCAAGACTCTCCTGTCTGCCTTTTCTTCTCTCTAGATGGAGGTAGAAAAGTTAAACAAAGCCACTCATCTGCCTAAACCTAGGAACATCATGGCTGCGCACTGTAGGTGGCTGGAACCGAGGACTGAAGTTTATAATTAACTCATGGCCCAGACAAGTAGTTGGCCTTCTGTCAAGATACTCTCTCCCCTTAAGGCCTAAATCCCACTGACAAGCAGTGCTCAAAACTGCTATGTGCCTGGCAGGGGACAGAAGGTTTAGGTGGCTCTGGAGACGTGTGGTTCGGCAAGCTGGAGTCCTCAGTAGAGACTGGTCGTCTCTTGGGTGCTGCCTTATCCATCAAAATATTTCTGAACTGTTCTATCTTGACCATACTCTGGGATACAGGATGGGGCCAATTCCTTCCCTCCAGGCAGTATTTCAGGGGTCAGGAGGTCATCTACAGTTTGGACCTACATCTAGAGGTCTGTGATGCGGCTGCATTTGAGAAGCCCTGTTGATTCCCAAGACATGTTTCTTCCTTCAGTGCCATTCCTGATGCTGACCAGGGATGCCTGGGACTCTTGGGGGCAGAGCTGGAAAAAGGCACATACTCAGCTCGCTGCAGCAGCCGATGATGCCCTGCCCATCCTCAGAAGCCCGTGTCCCATTCCTGTGCCGAGTGAGACGGGGTGGACCTACCTAAGTCTTGCAGGGGCAAGGAAAGTTAGCCTGCAAAGGGTAGCCTAGGACACGCAGAGGCATCTTGGAAGCCTCAGTGCGAGGGACCGGGGTGGGGTCTCTCAGGAGCCGCTGACTGGAAAGTTGAGAGAGAATTCGATGAAGACAGAGGGTTGCAGCGGGCTTATGGAAAGGGTCGCTGGGTCAGCAGCTTTGTCTTCACAGCGAAGAACTGGTTTCGAGGAGGAAAAGTTTACTTCAGCTCGTGGTTTTCAGAGGTTCAGTCCATCAAGGCAGCGGCCCGTGGCAGGATGGAGCAGCCTTTCGGGACACAGAGCCTGCACTCGCTGGCTTTTTCTTCCTCCCCTTGTGTTCTGCCCCTAGCCTATGGGGCACTACTGCCCACACTGCAGAGAATGGCTCTTCTGGAGTTAACACTTCTCTGGGGATGCCCTCAGACACACTGATGGGTGTGCTTCACCCGTCTCCTTCTCGACCCCCAAGGTGACAATCAAGATTACCCCATGATCTTAGGGTTTCTGTTGCTGCGATAAAACACCATGATCAAAAGCCATGCTGGGAGGGAAGGGTTTATTTCACCTCACAATTCTATGCCATACTCCTTCACTGAGGGAAGTCAAGGCAGGACGCTGGAGGCGGGGGCTGATGCAGAGGCCATGGAGGGATGCTGATCACTGGCTTACTCCTTATTTGTTTAGCCTGCTTTCTCATACAACCCAGGACCACCAGCCCAGGGCTGGCTCTGCACTCTGTGGGATGGGCCCTCCCCCTCCCACATCTGCTGTTAATCAAGACAATACCCCACAGACTTGCCTACAGACTAATCCTAGGGAGGTATCTTTTCAACCGTGGACATCACATCCACCACACTCGTGGCAGAGCAAGGGTGGCAGGATGACTTTCCACGATAGTTCGAGAGGAGGAAACCCAGGGAGGAAATATGTCCCACGCTACCCTCGCCAGCAAGAACCACGCGGAACACTAGGATCCTTCTGCAGGAATGGCTTTAATCCTCTTGGGAGCTAGAGCATAAGCCAACATGGCCGGGGACCCAGATAAGATGGAACCCATCCCTTATATAGGAAACAGACCCTGCTTTGGACGTGTCACTCTTGGATTGGTCAACTGCTCCCAGTCCCAGGTGATACCT